GTTTTCATTTAAGTTAAGCGTGTTAAGAGAATTTGATACATGAACTTCCTGGAAAAATTAGGTTAGGATTTAGGGCCAGAGAAATTCTCTCGGGTCTTTGAGAGTTAGAATGAGTTCTTTACATGGTTGGATTCGTCTTGAAAAATGCTACAACTTTGATGTTATGAGTTTTTACATTAGGACACGTATGCAGGTTCTCCATGTTTGAATCAGGCGCGCGCGTTTTGTGACAAAGGTTGAAGATGAAGTCAGTGGGCTGGGCTTGGTCCTGGCCTTGTTTTTGACACCCCCCTCATTGTTGATTGCACCCCCCTGGCCCATTTCTTCATATTTTTGTATTTTTGTATTTATTTTTCATTTCTGATTTTATTATTTTTCAAACATAAAAAATACCAAAAATATTTTTATAAATTTTCACATTTATTTTTGTATTTTATTTTTATTTTTCTAATATAAAAACAATTTAGTGATTATATACTTTTATTTTATTTGATGAAAACTTAAAAATAATACATAAAAATATTATACTTTTATTTTTATTAGTTATACTTAAATAATATTTTTTTAATATACTTTTTATTTTTGTATATACATTATTTTATTTTATTGTACATAAATAATATATTTAATATGGCATTTGTGTGCAACATTCTAGAGGGTTCAAAAATGTGAGATGTAATATGGCATTTGTGTGCAACATTCTAGAGGCAATATTATTCTGGTGTGTCTTTATGTTGATGACATGTTTCTAACAGGGAGTTGTCCAGAAGATATAGCCAAGTTCAAAGAGGTGCTAATGAATGAGTTTGAGATTACTGATGTGGAAAATATGGTATATTTTCTAGGGATGGATATTATGTACTCTGAGAAGGATATCATTTTGCACCAGCTGGTGTATGAACTTGAACTTCTGAAGAGATTTAAGCTGCAAAATTGTAAGTCTGCTGTCACACCTACAGAAACCAATCATAAATTGGATTTTGATTATGAGGGTGAGGATATGGATGCTTTTACCTTCAAACACTTAGTTAGTTCTCTTAGGTATCTGTGTAATACCAAACATGATATTTTCTATGCAGTTGGAATGGTTAGTAGGTTCATGAGTAAATGTTGGAAGCGGTGTAACAGTAAGCAACAAAAGTTTTGGAAATATTTATCCGGGAATTTATTGCGTTCACAGAGGTTGGTTATTGAATTGTCATTCGAAAAATCTCCCGTTAATGAGTTCGAGGATAAATGGGTTTGTAAAGAAAATGTTATCAACAGAAAATAAATGTAAACAAAAGTAAAAAACTAAGGAAGAAATTATCAAGCCTGCATATAATCTACTCGTCACAAACTTAAATATATTGACCAGTTACATTCAACCTAACAATAATCATCAATGTCACTACGTATCACTCACAACCTAAGTCATTTCTAATCCAAATTTAGAGATCGACGGTATCACCAAGGAAATGATCTCTCTACCTCCTCAACAACATAGAAGACAACTTATGTAATCGCACTGACGATCTCTCAGTACAGCACAACCACACAGAGGCATTAAGCTCTGATACCCAAGTAGATGTAACCTCTAAATCTATCTCTAGAGTTCAGAAACTAACAGATAATCATACTAGATAAGAATCTAAGCAGTATACGTTTATAACAACTCAAATCCCTAGCACAGAACAAAAATCTAAGACAACAATCCACAAAGATTTGTAAAGCAAGTTTAATATAACGGCATGGGCGACAAATATACATAAGTTCAAAGTAAAATACATACAAAACCCAACAAAAGATAAATACATATAGAGGAGAAGAAATAAACTACAAATCTTTCGGTTTGTCAACGCTGGTCAATGAGAAATCCACCTTCAATCATCCATAAGCAAAACCCTTGTGTTATTATCTAAGCTAATCCACTACAAAAATGAGGTTGATGGAATTGGGAGCACAAAAATCACTCCCCAAAACCATAACTCTCCAAATGAAATGAAAAGGAAAATATAACTAAATTATGATCCGCAATTGTCGCCCGACGACACAACTGACATTTCCCAACGACGGCTTCTATACACTTGGCCCAGAATAAGCCAAGTCCTCAACTGAAACAAATATCTCCTTTCACTCGACGACAGATTCACGTTTCCCGGCGATGCAGCAACGAAGCAAGGCAGAGACTTCATCAACATTGGTCTTCAAAATTTCGTCTGATGACGCTCCCTTTCTCCCGACGATGCAAGACAGAAGCAACATGGAAATTTGTCTTACAAATTTCACCTGGCGACAGCTTCTTTCACCCAATGATCCATTATAGTCCAACAACTTCTGTTGTTTTCCTGCATAACTTCCAATGGCTCCAATCTTTCGCCTTACTCCTTTATTGATCCAAAAATACATCTTGGAGCTTTATTCCTCTTACTCCAACTATGCTCAAATATCTACAAAATTAATACAAAACTATCAAACGATACACTTTATACAAGAAAATTCATTATACACAAACTAATCATATTTATACACAAAGTTGGGTTATTCAACTGATATTAACAACCAAGAGTCGATAAGTACAACAAAAAGTATATACAAAATAACTACACTTTTGCACTTATCAGTAAACCTAAGTGGTACCATTATCAATCTGCTGTCAGGATTCTGAGGTATATCAAGGGAACTCTGAAGTATGGAGTATTATTCTCTTCTAGAAGAAAGACTAATTCATAGCCGATGAGTTACTCAGACTCTGATTGGTGTGGAGATAGAGTTAACATGAGAAGTACTTTTGGATACTTGTTTAAGTTTTTGGGAAGTCTCATTTCTTGGAGTTCCAAGAAGCAATATGTTGTTGCATTGTCAATGTGTGAAGCTGAGTATATTGCAGGCATTGTAGCTGCATGTTAGGTTGTTTGGCTTTTGAATCTACTGCAGGATCTGAAGATCAAGATAGACAAGTCGTTGAAGTTGATGATTGATAACAAGTCTGCACTAAATCTTGCCAAGAACCCAGTACTACATGGGAGAATCAAACATATTGGGACAAAGTATCATTTTCTGAGAAGTCAAGTCTAGAAGGGAGTACTAGAAGTTGTGCACTATAGCACCCAGAAGTAGCTGACAGATGTTCTGACAAAGGCGATCAAGACGGATCAATTTCTCCACTTAAAGGATGGAATTGGTGTTGTTAGTTTTGATTAGGAAATTCTAAATTAAGGGATGATATTGAAGGGTAATTTAGTATTTTAGTATATTTCATATGTGGCCCTAGTGCGTGTGTATAAATAGACTAGTGGTAGCTGTCATATTTTTATCAATCTTTCTTATAGCTTTTGTAGCCGTCATTATAGAGCAATAAATATATTCTTTCATTCTTTATGTTTTTCATCACCTTGTGCACCAACGATATTGTTTTATTTGGATCTAATTGTATTTTATGATATTTAGATTGTGATCATGGTTATAAAAACCTTGATGATTATGTGTCGAATGATTCTCATGAAGTATTTGACGAAGCGTTAGATTTGGATAGGGAGTGGAAGATGAGGCATGATCAATTCCATATCGTAATTTAAAGCTAATCTTCTTAATATTTGTTTTAAAGATTTTGGTTCCAAAGAAAGAATCTTAAATTTTCATTTACAATATGATGACTTGGATTTACGTAGTCGTTGTTTTTCATTATGTATCATATTTTAGATTGGATATCAAGACGGTCTCATCGCAAGGAAAGAAGCTGCAACATAAGAAGGGTTCAATATTGATTTTAAGCAATTAGTCTTTCATGGTTATCGTTGGACTCTCGTGAGGGGAATTACCAGGTATTCTGGAAGGAAATATGATACATTATATTATGTATTAAGTGCATTTAGTACTCTTCCATAACGATTAAAGGAAAAGTTACTTGAAGCACAAGAAAAGCGAGAAGAACTTCAAGGTTTATATGAATAAGTGCAATCTTTTCAACAATAGATGCTCGTAGATTGTTCAATGATGACAACAATGCAAAAGAAGTTTTGGAGCATAGTGAATATGTAGAGGTTAGCACCAACATAACATACTCACATAAACAAATTTCATATGATTCTCTAGGAAGTTATATTGAAAAAGTTGAATCTATGGTTAGGGAATCTCCTGAAATTGGCATTCAATTTCCTCAAAATCTAAGTATATGATGTTTTAGGTTTGGTGTAAAATGGTTTGGATAGAATCATTAGTGTTCCTAGTGAAAATTCTGCTCTGTCTACGCGATGGTAAAGTTTTTTTTCCGTTTTTATTACTCAATAGTTCAGTTTGTCTTTTAGAAACGAATTAAATGACAAATATACTAGACCAAAATTGAAATCAAATTGAAATTAAAAATGAAAAATGGTAAAAACAACTTAAAGAAATTTTATTAAACTTTTTTGAAAAAAATTATAATGATTTATTTTTTTTAACAAATAATTTGATTTGTAAAAACTCTCTTTTAATAATGTGGTATAGATCATAATCCTGAATCAGTATATCAAATCAATAATTTTAATTCGATTTGATTCTATATAAAATGAAGTAGTTTGATCAATTCAAATAACTTTTTATTATAATTTAATCTAAAAAATTTAATTCAATTTAGATTTTATTATGATTTAATTCAATTCGAAACTTCTGATAACTTTTTATTATAATTTGATTCAATTCGATTTTCTAACCGAACTATATCATGAAAATTCCTAATTTTAATGAGTTGTATGACTTATTCAAAAAGAATAAATTAGTATTTACAAATACATCATTGTTATATATATATTCCAAAAGGTTAGCTTATGCGACACCGCCAAGGCACCAAATCAAGGCACGTGTGGCATGGGAAAATTCAGCTCAATTGTCTCATTAACAAAATGTTCAAAAGAGTGCCGTTTTGGAATCAACTTCATTTGGTTATAAATTTCAAGGTTCATTATTCTATCATTCATCCTGCTCATAAATCACCAAAAAATCCTTCTTCTTTTTTTGAAGTTCTCTGTAGTTTGTTATTGATGGCAGAGGAAAAACAAGGACATGGAACTAATCCTCCTCAGGTTCAACCAAATATTTATATTTTATTTATTCTTTCTTTTAAATTATTATCTATATTACCGGATTAGTGTCGATGTTTCAGTGTCTGTGTTAGTGTTACATAAATAAGTTTGGTGTTGCAGGGACCTACAAAAACAAGTTGGCCTGAGCTAGTTGGTGTCTCTGCAGAAGAAGCAGAGAGGAAAATAAAGGAAGAGAAGCCTGAGGCTGAAATTCAAGTGGTGCCACAAGATTCATTTGTTACCGCTGATTATAAATTTCAGAGAGTTAGATTGTATGTTGATGAGTCTAACAAGGTTGTTAGAGCTCCAGCAATTGGCTAGTCCATAAACCAAATGTGGATTTTAAGGGAATTTGGATATAAAGCTAATGATGTAATTTGAAGAATAAATTTTGTAAATTTCTATCACTTTGTTTGAATATCTAAGATTATGTAAGTATATGCCTACAAAAATAAAATTTGCTAAGATTAAATTAAATAATTGAAAACTTACAAGAGTTACAATTTTATTCAACTACACATAATTAAATAATAGTAATTATTTTTTATTCAAATTCCAAATTTTGATCTAATATTTATTTATATTTTAAAATAAATATTTTCTCATTGTTGTTCTTAACCAATCAAATCTTAACTAAATTTAATATTCTTAATCTATATTGTTTAGTTAAAGATATAAATAAATATAGTGTTAAATAAAATGATGTCAAAAAATATATGGAACTTGATGTGAAATTATGTGGAATCTATTTTAACTTTTCTTATAATTTAATAAATATCTAAAAATAATAATAATTGATTTGTTTATATGACTAACTGCAAAATAATATTAGAAAATAAACAAAGTCTAATTAAAAAGCTCAAATAAATATGAAGTAATTTAGTAACTACATGTAAAGTTAATCTAAACAATAATAAAAAAGAATTGTTATGATCTAAATCAATGTTGAATATGGATATTTTATTTTAGTTTTAAATTTTTTTCTTTTAAAAATAGATTTTAAAATTTTCATTTTCAAATTATTATAAATGTTTTATATTCGTTTTTTCTAAACTACTATCGTAAAATCAAAATCATATAGAAATAGCAAAATCATATAGAAATAGCAAGCAAACCGATCAAAATCATATAGAAATAGCAAGCAAACCGATAATAAAATGCGTTGTTATTTTTTTTTATCATTAGAATGCGTTGTTATTTTTTTTTTTTGAGTGATAAAATTAATCATTTTAAAAATTATATTTATTTTCTTAATTTTGACATTGTATATCATAAATATATATTATTGTATATTAAAATATAGTCAAAACCATAATTTTTTTAAAAATATTTATCTCAAAATTTTTTTTTAATGAAAAACTCTTTAAAATAATTTCAAATTTAAGTGTTTTTTTTTAATAATTTTAATAATAAAATATTTTTAAAATAATTAATTTCATATTTGAAATTTTTATAAAAAATTTCGTTATAAATTTTTTTCCACGAAATTATGTTATACTATAAAAATAGTTTAAAAAAACAAAACAAACAACCCTATATCTTTTTAAGTGTGTAGATTATTCGTTGAGTATTGTATTCTTTTTCTTTTGTATGTTTCTTATATAGGATTTCTCTATTATATTTTTCTAGTTACATCTTGTGTTTGGATTATTTAAAAAAATGAATAAAGTATTAGCATATACCACAATTATTATAATTATTCCATATGGCATTGGAAAAACCAGCTTAATTGTCTCATTGACCAAATGTCCAAAAGAGGTGCCGTTTTAGAATCAACTTCTTTAGGTTATAAATATTTCAAGGCCCACACTTCATATTCCTCAGAGATCACCAAAAGATCTTATATTTTTAATCATTATTGATGCAAAAATATGCTTGGTGTTGAATGAATTTGAAGAATGAATTTGATACTTTTCTCATAATCTATCTCCTTCAGAATTTTTCTATAATTTTAATTTCTTTTTAGTAAATTAGATATGATCTACATGTAATTGGAGATAGAAATTCTTTGAATTTTGTAAAATTTAAAATAGTGACAATCTCTTTGTTAACGGTTGAACGCTTATACATACTAAAACTTGAGTTCCAATTTGAGACATTAGTTAAGCTAAAAAACTCTAAAATTTCATATAAGCTCAGTTTATACACTTCTTTGGGGGACATACTCTATTGACATTAATTATACATTTAATTTTGTTCCATAAAAAAGGTGGTGTATTTTTGGAAAATGGTTTTATTTCTAAAGAAATCAATGGAACGAAAGTAGAACTCAAATAAATTCAAGAATCACAAAATATTGATACATCTATGGAGAAACTAGAACATGAAACACGAGTAATTGTGGAATAAAAACCTGCTCAAGTAAAACAACACCAATATAGGTCAAACATGATATATTACCGACCTGAGAGATATGGATATCTCATAAATGATCAAGATGATATATTACTCATGGATCAAGATGAGCATGTGACCTACCAAGACTATGACAAATTCATGGTGTAGACTATGACAAAACCTTTTCACCAGTTGTGATGCTCATATTTATTTTGATTTTACTTGCTATCGTTGCATATCATGACTATGAAATATGACAGAGGGATGTCAAACTGCTTTTCTTAATGATAATCTTCTCAAGGATGTGTACATGACACAACCTGAAGGATTTAGCATACTAAAAGAAGAAGATATGCAAGTTATTACGATCAATCTATGGATTGAAACAAGCTTCTAGAAGCTATAATCTTTATTTTGACGAAACGATAAAACAATATGGGTTCATTAAAAACGAAGATGAGTCTTGTGTCTACAAGAAAGTTAGTGGGGCATGATCATCTTTCTAATACTATATGTAGACGCCGTATTACTCATTGAAAACGATGTCTCTACCTTGCAGCAAGTGAAAACTTGGCTAGGGAAATGATTTTCTATGAAAGACTTGGGTGAAGCAGCCTATATATTAGGAATCATGATCTATAAAGATAGATCACAAAAATTGCTTGGCTTGAGTCATAATACATACATAGACAAATGATTCATACCTATCAAACATGGCTTGTGTTCATCAAAAGCACAATACCCTTCATCAAAGGAAGAAAGGAATTGCATGAATAAGATTACATATACATCTTCAATAGGATCCCCCGCGTATGCCATTTTATGTACTCGACCAAATATCTCATATTATTTATGTACAAAGAGCATGTATTAGTCTGATCCTGATGATGCTCATTGAGTTACTGTCAAGAATATCCTTATGTACTTGAGAAGAAATAAGGACTCATTATTGATATATGGAGGTCAGGAAGAGATCGTTGTAATTGGATACACCAATGCTTGCTTCATGAAACATAAGGATGAGTTCAGATTGCAATCTGGTTATGTATTTTGCTTAAATGGTGGCGTTGTGAGTTGGGAAAGTTCAAAGCAGAATATAATTGTTGATTCTACAACTGAGGCAGAGTATATTTGTTATCTCAAATGTTGAAAAGGAAGTTGTTTGAATCAAGAATTTTATTAGTGAACTCGGTATAGCCCATAGAATTATGGATCCCATTAATCTCTATTGTGATAACATGATGTTATGGCACAACCTAAGAAGCCTAGTTCTCACCAACAATCCAAACACATACTTAGGTGATATCACCTCATTCGAGAGATAATAGATAGAGGATATATGAATATATGTAAGGTAACAACACTTGACAATATCGATGACCCACTGAGAAAACCGCTTGCGCAGAAGAAGCATGATGGCCATACTAGATCTATGGGTATTAGGCGTTTGCCTCATTGGCTCTAGTGTTAGTGAAAGATTGTTGGTGTAAGCCCTAAAGGCCAGTCATTTTGGTACATGACAATTTCGTAACTTGGGTAGTAGTGATGTGTTGCTAGATACCGCTCAATTTTTATTATATTTAATGCATGGTTTAATATAATTTCCAAAATCACAAGAACCTACATGGTCACACAAATAAAGATGGATTGATAAGAGATATAATGCATAAGTGAAATAAGGAACATTGTAAGGTACGGTGTACTTATAACAATTGCAGAACACCGTAAGATACAATGCACTTAAGTGGGTTGTAGCACATAATAAGGTACGGTATGCAACACCCCATAAACCCCGCATAAATAATATGGCATAATCAGAGTAAATTAGCATGCATATCAGCCGAGGGCGTCCTATTTACTTTACGAAAACAACACAATACACTAGTGTAATACGGTGGAAGAATTGACTTTACTGGTTTTGCATTTAATCGTAAATGTTGCGGTTAGCAAGAGTCGCCACCGACTTTTCTTTTATCCAATAAAGGAAAGGGTGAAAAGAACAGGAAAGACCTTTCGAGAATTTTTCTGAGTAAAGGGGTAGGTTATGGAAAGGGAAGGTGTTAGCACCCTTTCTATCTGTAGTTATCTACGGGCTCTTAGTTGCTAGCTCACTTTGAAAATGCTTCTTTTTTGTGTAAGTGTATTTGAAAATATTTTGAAAAGACGCCTTAGTGCAGCGAACTTTGTAATGATTCTCGTATCGTTGAGAATGCATACAAAGTGTTTTTTGTCTTTGAAAAATATTTAGAAAGGGGAGTGTATGTGTGGGAAATTTGTTTTGTTTTGTGAGCAAGCAACTACAAGCTGTCTACCTACTCAAAAGATTTTTGTTCTTTTCCTCTTTTTCTTTAGATAGTGTTATCCTACCATTCGTTAGTAGGTAGTCCTATCATTGGATGTTTGAGGGACAAACGCGGATCATCGTACAGTCACAAAGGCAACTCGTTGGACACTTCAACAATTTATCGTAAGGGGCTAGATCATTTATTGAAAGGCAACATCGAAGAGTCATCGAGGGACTATGATCTTTATATTGAGGGACTTTTCTAAAGTTTCCCATGTTCGAGGGACATGACTGTTGTTTATTCGAGGCAATAAGTGAGGAATACCCTAGAGGTGTGCATGTGCAAAGTGTGTTGTGTTTTAGTTATTAGTCTTGAGGTTAGGTTGTCTAGCATTTGCTTTTAGTCTTCCCATACAAGCCTATTAGCATACATCTAGCAGTTGAATATATACAAGTGCGGAAAGAAAAAATATGGAATTTAAACTACATTATTACATCGCTTCGGGGATAGGGAGTACAAACCAAAAATTGGGGAATAAAAAGGTAAATGTCCTAATTAGCTATTACAAACTTTGGACAATTACAATATTGAAAAAAAATATGAAAAAGTAAATAAGCGCTCGGAGATTGAAGAGAGCAAGATATCTAAAAAAACCTAAAAAATTCTAAGTATAAGAAAATAGTTTTGGTGTTTTTATTT